CCCACACGGCTGCCACAGTGAGGAGGAGTGTGGCAACAAGCGCACTATAGCACCCACACGGCTGCCACAGTGAGGAGGAGTGTGGCAACAAGCGCACTATAGCACCCACACGGCTGCCACAGTGAGGAGGAGTGTGGCAACAAGCGCACTATAGCACCCACACGGCTGCCACAGTGAGGAGGAGTGTGGCAACAAGCGCACTATAGCACCCACACGGCTGCCACAGTGAGGAGGAGTGTGGCAACAAGCGCACTATAGCACCCACACGGCTGCCACAGTGAGGAGGAGTGTGGCAACAAGCGCACTATAGCACCCACACGGCTGCCACAGTGAGGAGGAGTGTGGCAACAAGCGCACTATAGCACCCACACGGCTGCCACAGTGAGGAGGAGTGTGGCAACAAGCGCACTATAGCACCCACACGGCTGCCACAGTGAGGAGGAGTGTGGCAACAAGCGCACTATAGCACCCACACGGCTGCCACAGTGAGGAGGAGTGTGGCAACAAGCGCACTATAGCACCCACACGGCTGCCACAGTGAGGAGGAGTGTGGCAACAAGCGCACTATAGCACCCACACGGCTGCCACAGTGAGGAGGAGTGTGGCAACAAGCGCACTATAGCACCCACACGGCTGCCACAGTGAGGAGGAGTGTGGCAACAAGCGCACTATAGCACCCACACGGCTGCCACAGTGAGGAGGAGTGTGGCAACAAGCGCACTATAGCACCCACACGGCTGCCACAGTGAGGAGGAGTGTGGCAACAAGCGCACTATAGCACCCACACGGCTGCCACAGTGAGGAGGAGTGTGGCAACAAGCGCACTATAGCACCCACACGGCTGCCACAGTGAGGAGGAGTGTGGCAACAAGCGCACTATAGCACCCACACGGCTGCCACAGTGAGGAGGAGTGTGGCAACAAGCGCACTATAGCACCCACACGGCTGCCACAGTGAAGAGGAGTGTGGCAACAAGCGCACTATAGCACCCACACGGCTGCCACAGTGAAGAGGAGTGTGGCAACAAGCGCACTATAGCACCCACACGGCTGCCACAGTGAAGAGGAGTGTGGCAACAAGCGCACTATAGCACCCACACGGCTGCCACAGTGAAGAGGAGTGTGGCAACAAGCGCACTATAGCACCCACACGGCCGCTACAGTGAAGAGCGCGGCAACAAGCGCACTATAGCACCCACACGGCCGCCACAGTGAAGAGCGCGACAACAAGCGCACTATAGCACCCACACGGCCGCCACAGTGAAGAGCGCGACAACTAGCGCACTATAGCACCCACACGGCTGCCACAGTGAAGAGCGCGACAACAAGCGCACTATAGCACCCACACGGCCGCCACAGTGAAGAGCGCGGCAACAAGCGCACTATAGCACCCACACGGCCGCCACAGTGAAGAGCGCGGCAACTAGCGCACTATAGCACCCACACGGCCGCTACAGTGAAGAGGAGTGTGGCAACAAGCGCACTATAGCACCCACACGGCTGCCACAGTGAAGAGCGCGACAACAAGCGCACTATAGCACCCACACGGCTGTCACAGTGAAGAGGAGTGTGGCAACAAGCGCACTATAGCACCCACACGGCCGCCACACTCCAACAACCACTCACAACTGTAATATCATTAGTGATAGAGACGACTAATGTGAATATACCTTTGCCAAGTTCTCCAGTAAATCCCTTAAATCCTCCTTGACTATCAGTGCCATCTATAGATTTCCCAATACCAACATAGCTTCATTCCCAAATAACCTAAGGAATCTTACCATAAGTAACAATCTCAACAAAAATCACATCATTCTAGGAGGTGATTTCAATATTGACCTGGGTCTACAAAATAACCCTCAAGTTGACTATTTCCGTAACAGCATGAACTCCTGTATGCTAATCCCCACAATCACCAAGCCCACCCGAGTCACTCAAACATCTGCCACTACCTTGGACCACTTATGGACTAATACAACAGCTCCCCTTACATCTGGGGTAATCTATGACAGAACAACTGACCACTATCCTACCTTTCTCATAGCAAACATGGACATAACAGCACCAGAAAGCAAGAAACTCTCATTCAGGCTACACAGTGAATCAGCTTTAGGTAATCTCTCAAATGCACTTCACAATATTAACTGGGAATCTGAATTCAATAATACACAGGATATAAAGTCATTAACTAACCTCTTTCTCTCCAAAATTCTAAGCCTCTACAACACTCATTGTCCCCTCCTTACCAAACAAGTAACTGACAAAACAATAAACAATCCGTGGCTCACAAGTGGCATACTCAAATGAATCAACAAAAAACATGAATATGAAAAGAAATTTAGGATTGGTCTAATTACGAAGGAAGTAGTTAAAAGGTACTCATCAGTGCTTACCAGTATCATAAGAAAAGCTAAACTTTCATATAATGAGACTAGATTCAGAGAAGTAAAAGGCAACATGAAAAGCACATGGAAAACCATCTCTAATATCCTAGGAACTAAACAACACTCCCACAACCAGATAACACTCTCTAAGAATGGCTATACACCGTCAACTGATTTAGAAATGGCAAATGAATTTAATAGCTTCTTTTCATCGGTTGGTGCTAACCTTGCCAGTAAAATCCCACAGACTCAGACACATATCAACACATATCTCTCAGGCAGCTATCCAAACTCTCTTCTCCTTTCACCAGTCAGCCTGTCAGATGTCGTGTCCATCATTCACTAAAAACCAAAGCTGGGAACATCAGTGAAATCCCATCCATTGTATACAAGAGCGCCTCCAATGCCCTTGCGCCACCCATAGCTCTGCTGTTCAACAAATCCCTAGAGTGTCATACCTTCCCTGATATCCCTAAAATAAAAGCAAGAGTAACGCCAGTTCATAAAGGAAGCAATCCGGCAGACAAACAATTATAGACCAATATAAACCTACCCATGCTATCAAAAACATTGGAAAAAAATATCTACAAGCAGCTCTACTCCTACCTCGTAAAATTCGACATACTCAGCCTCTGTCAGTTTGACTTCCGCTCCCAAAAGAGTACCAACGATGCAATTATTAGTCTCCTTGATATAATTTACTCAGCCCTTGACTAAAATGAGTTTCCGATTGAACTCTTCATTGACCTGAGAAAGGGCTTTGATACTGTTAATCACAATTACCTCTTACGTAAACTCCATCATTATGGAATCCGAGGCCATGCCCTGGACTATATCCAATCTTATCTTAGTGACAGACACCAATGTGTAGCCATTAATGATATAACCTCTCCCCTTCTACCAATAACCGTTGGAGTGCCACAGGGCAGCATCTTGGGACCTCTCCTATTTCTTATATACATCAATGATCTGCCTAATGTCTCTAATATTCTTAAACCTATATTGTTTGCTAATGATACTACCCTCATCTACTCTAACCCCCAACCCACATACACTAAATAATGTTGTTAATAATGAGCTAAAAAAACTCCACTTATGGATGTCAACCAACAAACTAACACTTAACATAAGAAAGACCTACTGCATCTTATTTGGAGGCAAATCTACAAATGCAATTCAGCTTCAGATAGACAATGTAAACATTAGCAATAAAAATGATGGGAAGTTTCTTGGCCTATTCCTAGACAAGAGACTCAACTTCAGCACCCACATACAACACATAACTCAGAAAGTCTCTAAAACAGTTGGTATACTCTCCAAAATCAGATATTATGTACCTAACTCTGCTCTCATCTCACTATATTATACACTAATCTATCCATATCTTAATTATGGTATCTGTGCATAGGTTTCAACCACTGCAAACCACCTCAGGTCCATCATCACCCAGCAAAAATCTGCTATCAGAATAATAACAAATTCTGCTTTCAGACAACACTCAGCCCCCCCTTGTTTAACTCCCTAAACATGCTAAACATAATCTCACTCCACACATTCTCTTGTGTCAACTACATTTACAAAACCCTCTTCTTAAATGCAAATCCTGCTCTGAAACTCTCCCTGGGCAGATGTAATAGAACCCATTATCACCACACCAGAAATAAATATATCTTTGATATCCGCAGAGTCAAACTATGCTCTATGCAAATAAAGGGACCCAGTCTATGGAACTCACTCCCCAATGAATTGAAAAGCTGTCCAACTTTTGCGTCATTCAAAAACAAAACTAAAAGTACCTAATTTCATCTTCATAGTTTTCTATCGTGTTGCTTTAAAATTGCACTGTATCTAGTGCTACCCAATCTCCCAATCTTTATGTACCCAATCCAAACAACTTTACCATTGTGATCATTGCTGTCTTCTTATATGTGCTATGAATTTGCTGTATGGTGCCTACTAATCTTTCTTTAAATTACCAATCAAGCTGTCAATGTAATCAATCAGAGCTGTAATATACCAATGTGCTTTAATATACCTACTAATCTCTCTCATTTCATTTTTTTCTTGCAATGTATCTGTTATTATTTTATTAATTCTGCTAGAATTGACTTACTTAAAATTATCTGTTAGATTAAGGACCTGCCCGAAACGCTGCGCGTACTAGTGGCTTTACAAGATTGTAAATACCATGTTATTTATTCTCACAAACCCAGTGTACCTTCTTGTATATAAATAAATAAATAAAAAAACTGCATCACTCAACAACAGCAACCTGAGGAGCGGGTTATATTCACCATCGTCTCCCAGACCCCGTCAATTTCGTCTGAGTCGCTACTATTTTTTGTATCTTGGATTAAATGATTTTGGATAAAAGTGAAGTATTGGTCAAAACGCGACGTGCTAGTAGGAGAACGGATTGAAATGTGAGACGGGACGACGTCTAGATCTCTACTCAAGAGAAAACAGCTCGGGAGTCCTGCGGCTGAGCTGTGAAAATCCCACAGGATCCCCGGAACTGGTTTGGAGGAGGTGCCAGCTAGCGCGACCTGTCCTTTCTGGATTATAAACCTCCGTCACTTTTTTGTCAGCTGCTAGTGTATTCCAGAGTACGAGCGAGGTCCTGCGGTCCTGGCCAACGCTCTTGGAGCGAGGGACATATTGTGTTCATGGTGAAATATTCACAGGAGATCACAGAAGGAATATTACACCACAACAGCGGCAGTTTAGAGAACTTGGACACTAGAGAGCGAGGCTATATAACTGGGCACCGGAACATGTGGTTGAAGTCTCCTCTGGTGTGTTGTGGAAGGTCTCGCTGACAGAGACTGTTGACTTTTGGGACATTGTGGAATACTTGAGGCTGTACGACGCTGTCATCTCGCTGGAGG